ATGTGGTAAGCATGGAACAAGTACTTGCAGCTAGGAGGGAGGTATAGATTCCTTGCTTTGTTGGTCCCGATAAGCTCATTTGCATCTGGTACAACTTCGTCAAAGATGAACCCAGTTAAAGGAAGTCCCGCCAAGGTGTGTAGATCCCATAGCGATATTGAAAGCTCCCCGGAAGATGTCAGAAGTGTGTTGGTAGAAGGACACCATGCCTCGCAGAAAGCCTTGATGATCTCTGAATTGCAATCATATGTGAAGAGCGAAGCGTAAACAACATCGTAAATCTCTGCCTTGATCAAGTTGCTTTTTCACCGGCTAAGTATGTCTTCAGTCCACTCCCAGTATCCACGTGTGTAGTGGAATTCGCCGGCAAAATTGATGGCTTCCCCCCATACAGCTTGACCTCTTACGATGCGTCGTCCTAAAGTCGGCAATGGCTCTGTCTCGTTCAACGGGTTGTGATGAGAAGCTTGCAGCATCCATGTTTTTGACTTCCCATATGCATACTCTCGAGTCCATTCGCTCATGTGAAGGGAGGTCGTAACTCTTGGCCTCGACTTCGGGAAATCACCGATAGTTGGCTCGTCAACTGCAAGGCAAGTTCCTTTATCCAGCGGTTGATGTTTGTTGTTGAGAATGACCAGATGTCTTTTTCCCCCAATCAATGTGCTCGTAAAATAGACCATATTGTTAGCTGCAGTCTTGAAGCAATTTGAAACCAAATGTATTTTACGTCGGCAAAAGAAGGACACGAGATGGTGGATAGCTATGTGCTGTGAAAAAAAAAAAGAAAAAGAAAAAAGGAAGAAGAATTGGTCATGAGAAACAGAGAAGTAAAATGCATAAAAATTCTCTAAGCTTATAAAAATATGCAGCAGGCTATGGGGAAAACAAATCAACAAAACGGTCTAGACAATCCCAAACAGTAGTCGGATAGCTCCGGGAAGTAGCCGAGCGGCCCGAGCAGCAGCTTGCAGTCCCGAGGATCAATCGATCAGCCTCGGGAAGTAGCCGAGCCGCCCGAGCAGCAGCTTGCAGTCCCGAGGATCAACCGAACAGCCCTTGAACAGCTCTGTTTCATCCCGAACAGCCCTCGTGGAGTTCGGACAACAGCTCGAGCATGTCGAACAGCCCCGTAATGACTCGAACAGCAACCGAGTAAATATCGTTTCATCCCGGAAGCGACTGACTGATTCGTTTACGCAGTAACAGTACTCGAACATCCCCGTTTCTGCTCGGAAAATATACTGCAGTACAAGCGTAACAAAAAAAAAAGAGCGAGAAGAAACATGGGAAGAAGAGCATGTTCATACCTCTCGAACAATTGATCGAGCACCTCGTGGTCAGAAACCTGGGAGATGAATGTAGAGAACTCTCTTAATATAGCCTACCAAAAAAAAAAAAAAAAAAAAAGCAGCAGTTCATAGCAACGAGCAGCAACAGAAAAGCATGGATAAAAATAATATTCTATAGCCTCAGCTAATTCATGGCTCTTGAAGCAAGGTAAGGGTATTAAAGAAAAAGAAGAAAAAAAAAAGAAAGATGGAATATGTAGCTAAAGCCGTACCTGCTCTCTGGTATTCTAACATGAGAAAAAAATAATAGTTCGAGCCCTTTTATAGCTGTGGAGAGACAGTCTGACACCTTAAGGAATTTGAGTTTGATTGGGAAAATAACTTAAGAGTCCTGCTATGAAATTTAAATTCTAGAAGCTTTGTTGCATAGAAAATTGATAGCAGGGGATTCTAGTTGTTGTCAAAAGCGGATGTATACATGGTGTATTTCTCTTGGAATGGCCTAATCATGCATAGAAAAGGATTCCAATAATTACTAAAATGGTGTAAGTTGGATTCAAATTGTTGCTGCCATTTTAAAAAGGGGACAATTATGTTTATGGGCTCAGAGGTAATTTCTCTATAAGTCTTGGTTGTAGAATAATATATTGAGATAGCAATGGGAGCCATGGACTTTGCTTTTAAATGCACATTGACCTATTAATTATTGGGCTTAATTAGTTAACCCATTAGTTGCATAAATTTCTGCATTGTGTAGTGCCCTCAAGCCCAGTAAAGCATTAAGTCCGTATCATTGTCCTCAAGGCCCAAGTTAAGAAAAAGTCGTGACTTATTCACTCCAAGACGTGTCGTCCGTGAACAAGTCTCGAGAGGGCATTTGTAGGCAATTAAATTCTGAGCCAATAAAATGGCGACAAGTGTCAAATTCCATGTCAAAATCAATTTAATAATTTTCTATTTTATTTGGAAAATTAATCAAATTTAATTCCTAAATTAAATAGTTAATTAATTGATTATTTAATATATATTGTTGGCCAATTAAAGAATGCCACATATATATTTTGAAGGCCAATTAAAGAATGCCACATGTCATTTTCTTGGAGAGTAAAATAAATATTTATTTCTTTTAATAATTATTAAAGAGATAAATAAATGGAAATTCATGGACCAATCAGATTGAAGTCTTCTTTTTCAAGACTCTCTCTCCTAATTATCTCTTTAAATAATTATTAAGAGATAAATATTGGAAATTATGGACCAATCAAATTGAAGTCTTCTTTTTCAAGACTCTCTCTCCCAACACCTATAAATAGGGACCCTCCCTAAGGTGAAAAATGACAATTCATATTCAAGTCCACAAGTCATATTCAAGTTCAAGAGCTCTAGAGAATTCTCTCCACAAGATTCAAGTGTTTTTGAAGATCTAAAGGCGTTCTTGAAGATTCGAAGGAAGATTCAAGCACGTTCAAGCCCAAAACCGACGTTCAATCCGGAAACAAGCTGTCAAGCCTCTGAATTGCGTTATTAAAGTTCAAGTGTTCTTGAAGATCCAAATGCGTTCTCGAAGATTCGAAGGAAGATTCAAGCACGTTCAAGCCCAAAACCGACGTTCAATCCGGAAACAAGCTGTCAAGCCTCCGAATTGCGTTATTAAAGTTCAAGTGTTTTGAAGATTCAAAAGCGTTCTTGAAGATTCGAAGGAAGATTCAAGCGATTTCAAGCCCAAAACTGACGTTCAATCCGGAAACAAGCTGTCAAGCCTCAGAATTACGTTATTAAAGTCAAGACCGACGTAAAGAAGATCAAAATCAACTTTGCGGCGAAGACCAAGAATTCGTGTTCTTCACGTTCTTGGGAAATCTCAACGTTCGATTCGAGATCAAGTTATCAAGCCCTCGAAGAAACGTTATTTAAATCAATATTCAAGACCCGCGGAAATCAAACTGAGGATTCGTCTCCAAAAGTCTCAAAACCATTTAAAGATCGTTCTTGAAGAAATTAATCAGAGGAATAATAGAGATTTGTAATCCACTATATTTCATTTGATCCGTTGAAATCAATTTGCGAATTTCTCGTGTTTATTAATTCAATAATACGAAATTTTGCGTTACAGCAATATATACATATTTATGAAAAATATACTATCTATAAACGTACACTCTCAATATACAATAAAAACACTATCATAATATACAAAATATACACGATCACAGAAATCAGTTAATGAATATACAGAATATTTCCATAATATACTTAATATATACCAAGTAAAATCTTTACATTTGTTTAAATATGTGTCGAATATACACCAAAAAGAAATAAACATATCAGTTAATGAACATACACAGTTGTTCCAATCAAGAAATATATACATATCATAAACTATTAGCATACTGAACATATACAACCTAATGTTATTGATAAAATAACAGTTTCGAAGCTATTTAATACAAAATGAATTATATACATACAATATACTCAACATATACAAAATGAATCATCGTTGTCATCGTTTATCTTCAAATGTTCGAACTCCTGCGACCATGAACTGAAATTTAGGGCTTTTGTTTTCTTCTTTCACGTATTCTGCTGTGTATATATATGGTGATTGAGGAATTCGAATGGGCTTCTCTCTTTATCCAAACAATTTTTAAAGGGGGAGCAGTTGGAGGAGGAGAATTGTGGCGGATTGTAGAAGAGAAAGATGATGTGTGAGAAAGAGAAAAATAGAGATGGGAAAAGAGAGAAAGCATCATGAGAATGGAGATGGGAAAAGAGAGAAAAAGCATCAAGATGGGAAAAGGGAGAGAAATATGGAGGTGGTTTCTTAATTTCAACAAGGGAGAGAAATATGGAGGTGGTTTCTTAATTTCAATAACTATTCTTAATAAGTGAGTATTAATTGGGGATAATGTATTTTTATTTCCTAATCTAATAATCTCGTATCTTTGCTAAAGTTTTTAATCTAATGGTAAAGGTGCAATAAAATAGGTGAGGTGTCGTAGGTGAGGTAATTTCCTCAATAGGTATTGCACCCTCATTCTTGGACCCTGCTATAGCCAAGGAAGTAGCCACTTCCTAACAAGGGTGTCCAAGAATTGAGGCCCATTATACTAGCTGTCTTATTGTAGCCAAGAGATGCAAAAATTCTGGCTGGAAATGATCAGCACAAAACAAAGCTCCACAATGAAAAGACACGAGTCAAGCAGCCTGCACACACTCTTCGGACTCGAAACGCAGATACAAACGACCTTGTACATGAATTTACAATATATTATACAAGATCATCAAATTTATTTCCCAATAGAATAACCGATTTGATCAGTGGACATCTTTTTCTGGTTCATCTTATTCCACCCTAAGCAGGAACTGGATTCGCTAGGCTGCAAAGGACGAGCAACATGATCTGTTATCTTAACAACCATTGTAGGAAAACGATATTATCATTCACAAAGCATATGACGACTAACGATGATGTTATTTCTCAATTACAAAAATGCCCCTAATGTGTAAGAACAACACATACTTTTCTAAATTGGGCTGCAAAGGTGTACTTGTTAATAAAAATACAATAGCACTTAGATGTTTTTAGTACCTTAGATGAGTTATATCCTAATCTTATACAGAGACTTTTCTTTTCAATTAGGATTGATGTGAAATTTAGTTTAGGTAATAGATCCTAATCTTATGCAGAGACCAAAAAGGAACTTACTCTGGAGATTCAACACTGCTTAATGGTACACCACTAGAGGAGAAATTCCGCTGGTCCTTCAATACAATAGTATTACCCAAAGTGCCAGTCGGCTTATGTGAACCCTCGACGGGTATAGCTGGTAATGGTGATATATTTCCAGAAGAAATTCCTGAAGAATGGCAACCTGGCAAGACACACCACACCCAAAAAAATTGTGAAGCATTTTGACTCGAAAGAATTTTTCGATCTAGTCTCACAATGGATCGGTCCATCCATTTTAGTTACCTATCCAACTAACTACTTTAAAACACACAGTTATCTTCCAAGTTACTATCAATTCCCTTAAACGTTTGTATTTATTTTCTGTAGAGATGTACTGTAAAGTATAAGAAAGATAATTGTGCTTCTATGTAATTATAGTGAACCTCAAGTTGCAGAGTGCATTGCAATTTTCCCAAGACACACAATTTGTAAAGAATGACCAGCCAAAAAGTACCTTGATAAATGACCACAATGCAGAAGATAATGGTGAACACCACAGCAATCAAGTTCACGCCAAATGGTACCGCAAAGGATGAGTGCTCCTTTGCAGCTTTCATTTTCTTTGTACGCCCAACCCTCGCACGTTTCATCCTTGCAAGTTCAGAAATTTCCTTGATCAGCTTCCGGTCAGCCGCATCCAACGACAATCCTTTTGCTGGGCGTGGAGGTTTAGGGGGCTTCTTGGCTGTCAACGAGTTACACTTTTCCTTATTATTATCATTATTGTTCTTACTGCTTGCTTTATCCTTGCTGACGTTCTTTGTATCATTCGGATTTTCATCTAAGCTCATAGGTACACCGCAAATGGTCACCGAAACTATATTTCCAGAGGTATTATCGGAAAGCAAAGGAGTTTCTGCTTCTGGGCCTGCCATTTGAGTACAACTTTCAATGTCGATCACAGTTTCTGATTGTTTCGTTGGTCCAGGATCCATAATATACTTCTTTAGGTACTGATTCTTGAATTTTCTCAACACAGTTTACTGATTCAGATTCTAAACCAAAAACACGAAATGAAACTCTTCAGCCTTCAGCGAAACCTGTGTGCATTACACCAGAAAATATCATCATCAGTATATTTGGAACAGTCTTCTTTCACTTGATAGGAAATCAACATGTAGCCATATCAACAATGGAATTGGAAAATAAAGAGAACGGGACCATTCCGTTGGGGTTTGTAACCGTTAGATCAACTATCCACGACGGTTACAATTTACAAATCCCGACAAAATACAAAATAGTTCCGTAACCGGACGGTAGCATTTCCCAAAGAGAACGATTGATTATTGAGAAATAAAAACAGCTGCCGATTCGGTTACAGAGAATAAGCAGTCAACGAAGAGAAAAAGAAAGGAAAAATTCTCACAATTGAGCAGTAATTCATGAAATAAGGCGATCAACGTTCTCAGTAACGGCACTCACTCACACTCACACACACACACACGATCACAGGCAGTAGCTGTAATAATTGAGAGTAAAGACTCTTTTCCCCCCAAACTCACAACCTGCAGCTTGGAAAATCGCACGAAATATTTCGAAAGAACAAAAAAAAGAAGAGAGATCGATATGTTCCGAATCTTACATCCGCACAAAGCTCAAGTAGAAGGTTATCAATAAGCCGCTGAAATCATCACCGGAGGCTGGTGGAAGTCGGCGGGATAATGGAGATTCAGGTGATCGGAGTTGGAGATTGTATTCAACGAACCAAAACAATTGATTTCTAAAATTCGATACTACAAAGCTCACGAGATTTGGATGTCGAGAAGATACAGTGCACGACGACAGACCTGAGATGAGTAGCCGAGGTTTGAGGTGTCGGCAGCTGCGGCGGCGGGAAGGCCGTGGACAGCGGCGGGGATATAGAGAAGGGATAGAAAGCGAGATCGGGTCCCTTTATATGGGGCGGAACACGCGGTGTGGGTTGGACAGGTGCCAGTTAATGTGAACTTTTCTTCCGGGCATGGGTCGTACTCGGGTCCATACGGGTTGACCCGGATAACACCTGTCATCGGCAGGCTGATTTCGAAGGGACAGCAAACAAATAAAATGTAGAAAAAATGGAACAGACAAACTGCACATCAAAGGCCACTATTGTTGGTCAATCATTTGTACTGTATGTAGTCAGAAAAATGTGATTCCTTTCCTCGAAGCCACGAGATACGGTTCAGTCGATGCTGCCCATAAGGGTAGTACCCATTTGGTGTGGATGTAGCATCTTTTATATTTATTTTATGCAATTGTTATTTGTTTTTGTATTTGTATTAACTTTTTTAATGTTTGTTCACTTATCATCATTATATCATAGTAAAAATTTAAATTTGTAATTTCATGTAAATAGATATATCTTGTTATATCCATTTTTATATTTTGTATTTCCCATTCTATGTCAAAATATATATTTCTTGTACTCATTTTTATATTCAATTATTGCCTTGCTTTGATACCATCTTTATATTATCATTTTAGGCGGTCCTATTTTATGTAATTTCTTAAATTTTTGTTTATATCTTTTTATATCACAATCTAGCTGTTTTAGTTTTTGTTCATCTATTTCTATATATTTATATTGAATTGTTTTTTCTATTAAATAATCTATCTCTTTGATTTCTTTTCTGAAAAGTTCAGCTGGTTCAAGATTTATATCTTTTCTTTCCATTTTATATTTTATTATTTAAGTTTATTACTAATGAGCTTAATTCATTTACCTGTTTATTTAAATTTTCTATTTCTTTATCCCCTTTATATAAACTATTGCTACTATGAGGTTCTTCAATTTCTTGAATTTTTAATAAACTATTTTCAGTTATTTTTCCTAAATTTGTAGGATTACTAAATGATCGTCTACTATGTTCTCTTAAAAATTCTTTTTGAATTCTATCGTTTTTAATGATAGTACTGGTTTCATTGAATAATTTTTCTGTATATATTCTTTATTGATTTTGATAATTCATACTTAAACTACTATTACTTAATGCATAGGCTATTCTATAACAAACAACCATAGGTATATCTCCTGATTCCATTAATGTTTTTTCTTGAAAATTACATATTATTCCTATACAATTATTAATTTTCTTGGTTGATAATGGTATAGGAAATTGTAATGATATATTAAATTTTATTACTCCATACCCTAAATCTCCTTCTATTTCTCCTAACTTTCTTGATTCTTTATGCATAATTCTATTATCTTCAACTCTTATATTTACGGGTGTTTTTATTCCTTCTCACAATGTTGATCGTAATACTATTTGTACCGTGTTTATATGTATATAACTTATCTTTTTCCTATCTCCTTCTTTTATTTTTTCTAATCTTTTTTCTATTTGATTTATTTCAACTAAGGGTGCTTGAAAATTATAATTTGCTTGTTCTATTCTAATCGGTTGTTCTCCATTCATTATTCCGTAATGTATTATATTTTTTCTATTTAATTTTTCTAGTATACCATTATTTATTCCTTCTTTCTTTTCTAGATCTAAATTTCCTTTATTCTTTACTTTTGTTACTACTTTTTTGTCTAATAATATATCTGATAGATAAATTCCTTGTTCTTCTATATTTTCTATAACATGATATTCGTTTTCCATTTTTTATCTTTAATTATCTTATATTTAAAATTCTTAGCCTTATTTGAACACTTAGAATGGATGCTTGGTATTCGACTTTCTTTATTAACTCTTTAATCCTGGTAATTGAAGAAGTGATATCATCACATATACGGAAATAAACTTCATCTTCTTCTAGACGTTCTTTATGTATATAAACTTTAACTAGGTTGAATAACATTTGTTCATTTTCTTTTAACATTTTTGTTAATGAAACAATTTGTTCTATTAATGATTTTAGGCAATTTATATCTCTATGTATTTCTTTATATGACATATTCCAAAAATCATTTATTTCCATGCAGAATTAATAACAATTTTTTAACAAGATAGATATAAGAATACTTGTTATGAGGGTTACCTGATTCCGCCTGCTCTCAACACAATTCTGGACTTAATGACCTTGACGCCTAATAGCTTTGGCCTTTTCACAGAACTTTCAGTGCTCCAGAGAGACTAACGCTTAATCAATTAACACCTTCAATCTTTCTTCTTATATTTTCCAAGTATTTAGGAACTTATTATATGAAAGCATGAAATCCTTGTAAAAGGAAGAATGTTATATGAAAGGATTTTATTTCAAATTGTTGTGTCCTCAAATGAAGTTTGAGACACTTATTTATAGGCAAGAGTCATACCTCTGCCTCTTTACATCATGGTCGACAACTTCACATTATGCGTTCTTAGCGGGTGTGGGTGGTGACTCACCATCCCATTACATAGTGCATAGAATCTTTTCTATTATTACAACAAGACAATTTTCAAAAAGAATGTGGGATCCTCCATTTTGTCTACTATCTCGTCCACTATCTGCCCCATTATTCTCCACTATTTCATCCACTATATTATTGCCTCCTGACGTAAGCGCTTACATCATTCCTGGATGGGTTCAAACTCTCCTTGTAATTCTGGGTTGCATAATTCACAAATGTGATCTTCTGTGAATTCCTTCTGTAGTCTGATGCAGATCTCCTTCTTAATTATTTCTGGAATATCAAATTGTATTTTTATTAGTGTATCCAGATATTTGTTGAGTAATTTGATGTCTATCTCTGCTGGATCTCGTGCTTGCATACTCCAAATAATAATGGACTTGGCTGCATAATTAATTCGTCCCTTGATCTTAATGCCTTTGTTTAGTATTATGACATAATTATTAAGGAACTGAATTAATTCGTCTTCATGTTGTGCTTGTCCGATGTCTGGATAATTTCCATTGCTTATTCCAATTTGACAAAATTGGATTGTTGGTTGTATTACTTCTTGTGACTTCTCCCCCTCCCAAAAAATTGGTGTGGTGGCGAATATCTTTATGAATCCTTCTTTTTTCCCGAGTACGTGCTTACCGTATTGGGAAATTGCCTTCTTGATGTTGATCGGGAAGTATTGGAACATATTTGCATCTCTGAAATAAATACAACTCAGTAACCCTGATTGGAACATCATGTATACTTTCATTGGATCTGCCTCTGGTAGAGCGATTGCTTTTGGTCCAAGATATGAACCATCAACTGGATAAATGCTTGTCTGCTTATCTTCATCTGTGTAATTAACCACAAACTTAAATTCATGGTCAAAAATGTTTTTTGTGAGCTTGGTCATCTCTTCTTTCTGTTGTTTAGATTGTATGCTTCCAATCGTGAGTGGTCTGCTACTTGGAATCTTGCCTAATATAGGCATTTACTTATGTGTTGCTATAGCTGGTGACAATGTTTTTCCTGCATAACTTGCCTTGAACTGAGCTAGTGCTTCTTTTGCTTCGAACATGCTAGAGAATTTTTTATGTATGACAGGCTGTCCTGTTATAAACATAGCTGCTTGACTCCATTGGGAAAATATCCCTTGATTAGGACCTATAAATATTACATAATGGGTTTTTGTTCTTTCTTCCTCATCAAAACGAGGTTTTTCTTTTTCTTCTGATGTTTCAGCCTTTTCATTTTTCTTTTCTTCTTTGCCTTTTTCTGCAAACAGTATGGCTTTTATTTGGCTTATTTCTTTTTCTTTTTTCTTTATCTGCTCTGAGAGCTCTTCTACTTGTTTTTCTAGCATATTTAGACTGTCTTCTAGGACTGGTCTGATTGCTTCCATTCTCGTGTTAATGTATCTGCTAAGTAGTTTTCTTTTCCTGAAATATATACAGATATATAATCAAATTGTTGTACTTTTAAGCTCCATCTTAAAAGTCTGCCTTTGTTGTAAGATTCTTTTATTCGATATTTTGTAAAATCTTTTGTATACAAACTGTCTGTTTTGAAAAATAAATT